GGAGGGCTGGCGAAGTCAGCTCACAAAAGATTTGGCAAATACAGGTAAAGGAAGCAGTTCACATTGCAAGGGTTTTAAACTGAAATGGCCACGTGACGACCTTTCGAGGCAGTTCACCAGCTCCACCCTTATTTCGTGTTCCGTATTTATATCGGTATTTCGAATTTATTTCGTATTTTTAATGATTTCGGCATAATTTCGTGCTTTACATTTTCGAGCATTTCGGGAGAGCACTTCCAGGTAACCTTGACATTCATGTCGGCATAATAACGTCGTTCAAATTGTGCCATTCTACCAGTCATAAGCCGATCAGGCCAATAAAATAAAATGGTCAAGTCGTTCACAACTTACGTTCGTGAGCACGACATCCAGACATGACGGCCCTCAATTGGCTCTCAATCACTGTGTTGCAAAATATGCTATATGTTGCAAATATGTTGCAAAATATAATGACGTAATGAAACAATGACGTATCGAAGAGCATGCCTGCTAACAAATATATGCAACTACCTGCAACGACTATCTTCAGTCGATCCACATGTTTGCAGAGTGGAAGTTGTGCCAATGTTTGCCACGATGTAGCAAAGTTTCATTCAACATGCCATGAATGGTTTTTCCGCAAAATATTGCGTAATGGTTACAAAACGTCACCTACAAGTCACGTTGAAAATTGTTTGTCAGAGACCACAGTCAGAGGCTACCATCCAACTTCAGCATCATCTAGTGGTAACCTGCAAGCGGTAAATGAACAAAAGCTTTGTTTTTGTATGCTGTTGTGTTACTGGAGTCCATAAATTGTTCATTGACATTTCCCCTTCGTGTAGTTGTTGAACTCTGGAGGCGGAAACCTGGGGAGCCTCAGCAGAGCTCATGAATGATAACAAGCATTTTAAAACACCAGAAAACATCATTTGTTGTACTTCCGCCATGGCTTGCGTGGCTTGTACCAAAAATTGTCCGCAGTAAAAATTAGTGCTCTTTAGCCACAAGTGTGGGGTATACAGCATTATGTACTAGCAAAGCAATATTGACAAAATAGGCAAAATGGGTAAATCAACTCAATTCAGAAAAAAACAAATTAGGCGTGTGATACTTGGAGCAACACAGCAAAATGCTGTTTGCTGGGTTGCAGAATGTTTGTTATTATTGGCGACTTTTGCTGAACCTCTCCACATTTCCACCTGCAGAGTTAAAAAACAGAATATGAATGGCATCGAACAATTTATTGCCTTCAGTAGCACATAAGGATAAGAATAAAGAGGCCGTTCATTTACCGCCTGCAGGTCCTCACTGGCTGATCTTGACGTTGGATGGCAACCTCTGACTGCGGTCTTTGCAAGCGATCTCAACGTGAGTTACAGGCGACGCTTTGTAACTCTTGCACCGTGTTTTTTTTTGCGGAAATCAGCCATCGCATGTTGAGTGGAACTTGACCAACATCGCCACAAGCGTTTACACAATTCCAGCCCACAAACATGTGGATCAAGTGCAGATAATCATGCAGACAATTTGTATGCATAACTTCTTTTGCGATACGCCATGCCGACATTGTGCACTGGCAAAGCCAAGTGGACGATAGCAATAAAACCTATTTGCTTAGTTCAGTAAACCATTTTAGGCCCATTATAAGTGCAAGAGTGAGTTTATGATGTGGTGATAACGGCGAAAGGGGGTAGTGAGCGACGTAATCAAGCTGCATGATACTTCCATCCACCATAATTGCAGTAGCGGACACCTGCTACCTTCACGTCTTGATACCTTGATTACACACCTTGTGCATACCTTGATTGGTGCACACCTTATGAATACCTTGATTGCTACATACCTTGCACATACCTTGACTAGGTACCAAAGTTTTTAGTAAACATGGACGCTTGTAATTATCTCAGCGAGCGGCGTACGCATTTGGCGAGAAGTGCCCTAATGAAACAAACGCGTTCCACCATCAGCAGATTTGTCGCTAGTGCATTCATCCTCTAAAAGCGCCATCTTCAGCGAAACAAGCATTCATGTAAACAATGTTTCCCAAAGCCACTGTACCATTAGAAAAGTCACTATGCTAAACGCCGTAATGAAGAAATCACAGCCACTGTGCAACGATTCGTCGAATTCGAGTGGAGACCGCCTCTTGTTTAATATCTCTTTTTCTAAAGTAAGGATTTTCAGGCTCGCATGCCATTTATTGTGTAAGTGCTTTGGGTAAGTGGATAACTGAGGATATCACATTATACGTACGTTGGAAAGAGCCAAAAAAATATAAATTTTTGATTTTAGAAAGGCGAAAAGAGAGTGCTATGCCATTTTCTCCCCCGTTGAATCGGTTACAAGTCAATTTTTCCGAAGCATTTCGAGACAGCTGGTACGAACAATCGAATTGTACCCGTGTGATCTAACCATGTGTGCAAGCTGCAAATTGCTTCACGTCAGAGACTGTCTTCCGCCCCGTTTCTTCTGTTGGAGGAGGTGCCCAGATTTCAGTCTCGTGACTTACACGCCAAGCCTTTTGTTTATCTTTGCCATCGCGCTGCCATGAGTATGGAATACCCCATGGTAACCACCCCTACAAAACCGCGCTTCGTAATCAATGCAGGCAGGGCAAGTCATTACTGGGCAGCATTCCGGCGGGCCGCGCTGCAGCGACCGGCAGTGCTTAGTGCTAAGTCTGATGCGTCTACTTCTTACCTGTGTTTTACGCATTGTTCAGGCTAAGCTCACGACTCGGGTAAGTCTTAACTAACAGCTGAACTTTGCGGTTCAGACTGTCACTGCGCCAC